CTATTATCTCGCCGGAGCAATATACCACTTATATCGTCTATGAAGAGGCTACAAGTAAGGAGACTAGTGACTAGTTAGCCACTGCTTAGCCACCAGTTTACTAAGACAGTACAAGATGCTGAAATGAGTGACCAAGGGACTGTTTCAGGTACAGTACATGAAGGCATGGCTGGATTACGTATATAAGACAGGCAATCTCCCTCTACTCATACAGCTAGATGATCAAGTCAATACACATAATATCAGCTCATATACCGTATATTTCAGCACAAGAAAGGGGCAAAGCCCCCTGGACTTTAGATGATCATTATATTCTGCCTCCTACCTTCAGAGCAACCAGCGAAATGCGGGTGGCCATCACCTATCACTCTACATACTGGCCTCGCTCTAGAGCCCACCGCACACGCTCTGACGTTATTGCTCTTGATACGATGTTAAATTTAGCTGAATACAATCTATTATGAGTGCCCACTATCTACCCTATAATGCTGTACGCCTGTGCAAATCCCTTCGCCCAGTTGAACTTCGGGTGGTACCTATAACCGTGTTAGCGCATGTCTTCAAGGAGTCAATAGCTCAGAAGTTTCCTTACATTGCCAGGGCAAACAATGCATAAGCATCTGCTGTTCGGGACGCAGCATCGGGATCATTCTTAGCTAAGTTGAAGACCAGGTCTACCCCATATGTCTTCACAGCTTTACCGTTGTCATCCTTAATAGGTTTGCCATCCTTGTCGACCGCGGGTTGATCCGGAAGACCGCCGCTGGGATAGGAGCCGTAGAAGTGAGCACTATATGAGATTAGTAGATTAGTGCTAATTCCGTGATTACCCAATGTCCCCGAATTACTTACAACTCATGAACCCAGGTCAAGGATAGACTGTTCCGTTCTTTTTCCATGAGGAGCTCAAATTCCTTGGCGCTATCCACATTGAGTGTTTTGACAGTGCTGCCACTAAATGCATAGTCACAGAACGTGATGAAGTTCAGGGAAGCCACAGTGAATGCGAGAACTCGCTCACCGCAAAAGGCGTTATTCTCTGGTGTTTGATCCGGAGTCATGATTCTGTTCCAATTGAAGTACCAGAAACTAAGGAAGTCTATGTTAGCACTTTCTCAGATCGAAGATGGTTATGCGAGAATCAATCCTAGTGTACTGTACACCAGTGCAGGATATGCGATGACGAGATATCAGGTGTCACCCACCCTTTAGGCCACTGGGGCTTTCCGTTTCCCAACTTAATCTCGTTAATTTTCCTCCTTGGATCCAGCGGGTCCGTATCCTCGGGTTTGTAGAACTTCCAAGCCTTCGTCCCGCAGTATAATCCAGCAAGACCCCTTGGATCTTTCGGTGCGTCGTGTTGCATACCATGTTGCATCTGACTGAAGATCTAAGAGGAATATGTAAGTTTATTTGGAAGAGTAGGTATATATGTTTGAAAGGAGGATGTATAGTACTTACCATCTCAACGTAATCAAAGTTATTCTTCGATTCGGGCAGTGGTCCTCCATCCTTCTGAGAGATCTTAATCCCGAAGAATGCTAGGAGCAAGTATTAGAAGGTCAGATCAATCCCCAAGCTGAGGTTAGGGAGGACGTACAGAACATAGACTGGGCTTGCCGTTCCCAGTTCCATCTATCCTTTTGTTTCAATATATTCGGTCTTGGGGTGGTTTTAAGGTATTGAATTGCGTCAACGGCAGCATCGATAAGCTTACCGATAGTAAGCATAGCACCTTAAGGAAGTTATAGGGACAAGCTTCAACTAACCTTCGAGGCTTCTTTGTAACTATCCTTCAAGTCCTCGTTGTGGGCTTTACACCCGTTGTCTGTGTCCTTGTTCGGCCAGTAGCGAAGTCCATCGTTAAAGAATTTTCCAATATCCGTAGCTGCTTCGACAGCTGTGATGACAGTTAGGCACACGGCCAACTTTTTCAAAATGCGACCACCGAACATTCTTAGAGCGTTGGGAAACTACTATGACAAAACAAATTGCAGCGAATGTGGACGATAGCTGGAAGCGAGAAGAGGCGGTTCAAATAGAATATGGTATTGGTCGGTTTATACTCGACATTGATAGATGTCATGGCAGCACGTTTCTAAGAATAAATGAGAAGCTGAATTATATTCTACATATGGATAATGATAGACACCAATCCAGGTATGTGCAAATCTCGCCTTAATCGTATTCATCTATTCCTGTATAGACGAGCAGCTTCGCCACAATGTTCCTGGCTTATTTTAACGTACAGAGATATCAGGGCAAAAACTGCCATAAAGGAAGCTTTGCCTCTGGTGAAATTTACATTGACGTATTTCATGGGATGATTTCCATTGTCGAAGTTGCATTGAATCCATTGAACGGGGAGCTTATTCGAAGTCCATGTTGAATCCTTCGGGCACAGGCTGCACAGCTGAGAAGATCGCCCTGTTACGCCGCATCCACACACCCGTCCCCGCAAAAGTAAGCTTAAACAATAGCTATCTCCTATTAGTCTAAATCCTACAAACAAGCATTCAAACGTCATACGGGCCAAGCTATGTTACGATCCAAGGTAGATTCTTCCTTTCTACAGTACCAACCCGCGAGCCCAGTAGAAATTTTGATCTGCAACTCTTCCCATGAGGCTGAAAGGCTTAGACTTAATTAGCCTACCTCCTACATAGTTCCCTGTAGGATAGGTTCTAATAATATTCTATGCTGTCATAACCTAAATATACCACAACATTAGATATCTCGAGATGGCTCTATAAGGTTAACCAAACGGCCGCTGAGATTGCATCTTGCGCCTCTATAACATTGGCTATCTCCTCTTGAGTCGCGACCGTTTTTCAGTATTTCGAAAGGCATCCAGTAACTTGGAATCAATTTTATGCTACGTCTAACACGACAATGGCGAAGTTTGCGTTTCTCTTATTGGGCCTTGTTAGCCCATTGGTAGCTCAAGCGGCCACTTCAACTTCGGGGAAAGGCTCGCCTCCATCTGAGTCCCCGTCTTCGTCGACTAAGTCTCCATCTTCGTCATCTAAGTCTTCAACTTCATCTTCTAAGTCTTCATCTTCGTCTTCCAACTCAACCGCGGCTGCCACTACTTTAGTGGTAACTGCTACAACAGGCAAGTTTGACATAAACTGTCCTACATATGCGACGCATAACCTTTTCTCTATAGAGGCCATGCTAATTGATGCGACTAGGGCACCCGCCACCGGTAGTGACATTTACTCCTGTCCAAGACAAGAAAAAGGAGTCTATCACTTCTCAAACCTCTTCAGATGGTACCCTGTTCTTCCCGCTGGGTTGGTACTGGGCCCCTGTTACCCCTCCACCGGGAGGGCCTCCTCTACCACCAACCCTTCCCCCTGTTCCTTCAACAGCTACCCCGCCAAAGACGTCGGAACAGAACACCAAGACCTCTAAGACCTCTAAGACCTCTGAGACAACTAAAGAGTCAACGAGTGATAAATGTTCCAAGACCACAACTCCAACTGCTACCGTTGTCATATCGTATAGTGGAGGCGATGGAAACTGGAAGACTATGACTGAAACCAAGCAGCCAAAGTGAGTCTTAAGCTGCATGGCCTCCAATTTCAAAGCGCATCTAATCTAATTACAAAACAGAGAGGCGTCGGGCTCGTGCTATGCAAAGCCTGCGACCACATCGTCCACCGTGGCCCCGTCGTCACAAACGCATTATGACTTCTCGGGCTCCTTTGATAGCAACCCCCGCCCGACTGCTTACCCATCTGCCGATCAGGCTGTACTCAAGTATCGTAAGTAAAATTTTCATTTATGACTGTTCCTAAATTACTACCATCAATGTATCTCCCATTGAGAAATATTTAAGAGCTCGAGGGCTTAAGGGCATACTAAACTTTCAAGGGAACATACTAACTTCTGATGTGTAGTCGACTCTGCATTTAAGAGTCTAGAGATTGTTGACTCCACTACCACCACGTCAAGCGCATCCAAGACTTCCTCGTCTTCCTCCGCAACCCCCAAGCCAACAGAGGGTCTCGATTGCAACTTGGACAAGGTGGACGATGAAGGCTCCGAGAACAAGCCGAAAGATTATCCCAAGGGCGCCTACCAGGCCGGAGCGCACCAATTCTGCTTCGGCGGCTACGGATTTGTGTCAAAGGCTGATGACAGATACTCTGGAAGCAACTACTTCTGGTTCGACACAGACCATATCGACCCGGATACGAAGCTCCCGGCTTATTGCGTCGGATCCGCAAAGGGCTCGTATGAACAATGGTCGCCCGAGAGTCGGAAATATTGTAAGGGCGGCAAAGGCCTTAACAATTCGAACAGCAAGGTGTGGTACGAAGTTGTACCTTCAGCAGACCAGAAAGGATGCAAACCTCTGAAGGACTACAAGTTACCAGAGAAGGACGACTGTGTGGATCGATGGAATAAGATTATCAACAAATGTAAGTGGTCATTGTCTACTCGAGTGTGGCGTTATCTCTCCTTTTCAGAGGACCGAGAAAAGGATTTCAGCTAACTTGTTCCTCTAATCAATAGGCATGCCGGACCATGGAACATCTGGTGTTTGGAAAGAGGAAACTGATTATGGCTGTTGGGACTGGAAAGTCTGGGGTAGGACTCTGTCGTAAATCAATAGCTTAATTAGCATGTTGTGTACTTAAAAAGGCCCATCAATATTAAGCACGGATCGAATAGATTTCAATTGTAAAAGCCATGTATACGAACTTAGATTCCTTCCCTTCGATGTTCGCTTGAAAAGTAGACCCCATTTCAAAAACGACTTATGATATTGAACTGGTTATTGAACCACCGGCAGACTTCAAACTAAATTAGAAGTCGAAATCTTCCCATTTGTTTCTTACGCCATGATAACACTTGTTTATAATGATATTATGGTGGAGGTGGACAAGGAAGAGTTCCACTCGTGTAGTAGGGCCATGAATGGATCCACACGCAAATTTTGCAACCCCAGTTATAAAAAAAATATTAGGGAACATAACAAAAATTTGAAGCGACGCAGGCCTGATTCGAACAGACGCTCCCGAAGGAATAAGATGAACTATGTTCTAGATGAGCTCGCTCACTAGATGTTCTAGTCTTACGCGATAACCACTCCGCCACTGCGCCGATATGCTGTTGGTGTTGTTGTTGATGGTATCGTGGATTTATGTTACCTTATAAGAAGAAAGCTTTTCTCTGCTGTAGCGCTAAACTCGTCTGTGTGGCCTAGCAGCTGCCTAGGAAGTGGGTTTAGCATGGGGACATACCCGCTATTCACACAAACAAAGTTCCAGAAAACCGCCGAAGTAATTCACTATCATTATTCTAAACAATAGTATACCAAGCACAATGCAAAGACATGGACCATATATAACATCTACAGTAAATCGGAATACCTCATGATACATGACTGGTAAAACCGTGAAAACAACTATTTTCGCGCGACTTTAGAATCCTGGTGTGGATTAATCAGTAGTCATACGGATGGGAATCTCACATCAGTTCAGTGGGTAGATTCTCTGCACTTGTAGAATTCCAGCTTTCGTCTGCTAGAATAGAAAGTCGAGTGATGAGAAGTAGGATATAAATTCGCGCGATATATTGAAATAATACTACCTGATACTTACCAGGGAGTTGCTGAGGATGACACCCTCATGTACATGTAATTATTAAGGTTGAACGAATGAGATGGCGGCATTATCCAGGAGATTTCCGCATTGAGAACAACACCCTGGTCTATCCATATCTGCAAGTTCAACGATTTTCTGGTCACAATATGCCTCAATATATACGGCTGTGATAGGGCTTCTACCTGCCATCATAGGAAATCTTTTCTATACAGCTATCAGTCCTCGATTCAGCCGGAAAAATCCTCAAACTATGAACGAGCATTACTGGAGCTGAACCAAAACAATAGCGCCTAATCTGACTTTAATCCTGGCTCAGTGATAGAATTGATTATTTCAACGGCGCGACTCAGCTACACCTAATATGTACCTGGATTGAGTAATGAATTGATGATAAGTAAATGATAAATGGGAGAGAGTTTTATTTTACTTGTGAGTACTAAAGAGTACACAAGATTCATTATATCATGTATAGATGTGTAATAGATGTCGAGGTTATGGTAGTACTTGGTTACTCCGTAAATACGGCGATCTGCTTGTTGATAAGATAAGAGGTTTGATGGATGGTGGGGGCTTGGAGGGGCTTTTACTTGAGCTCTTTTGCTCCGACTGGAACACATGTAATCCGATGATGAAAGATACTCCGCAATTGACTTCAATTTTACTCCTGATTATCGCCTTGCTGCTTGACGTGAAGATCCCAATTTACATGGCGGATAGAAAATTAGCAAATTGATTGGTAAAGGCTTGAATATCATCGCATAGCTACCTAGGTACACAGGCAGAGAAGCCAATGCCCAGTCGGGCTACCCCACCTGAACTTCCCGAACAGCGTCTGAAGCTTGGAGGGGTAAAAATTTAAAGCTCGCCGGCATATTACCTTAGATGTCTCTGAAAAGCTTGGAGTTTCCGTCCATTGCTCCGTGAAGTTCCCGAGAAACGGCATATGGACCACTAGCAAGAAGCCATAGCTGAAAATAAGAAGTTTTAAAAAAGAAAGCATTGACAAAAAGTATAAAAGTGCCCAGTGGTAGTAGTACAATTTACTTTACGAAATTATTCGGGTCGCAGCATCCATCCATAGTAATTTGATTCGTAGCTTCTCGGCCGTCTGCGTCACCGTGGATCAAATCTGACCCAAGACCCAAAAGACCCAACAACCCCTCCATAATACAAGGGCCAGCTCAAGCCATTTCAAGGACCCCCCCTCTTCTATTCAACTTTTTTGTCGTCACTGTTTTAATTCCCTCAGAGTTCTCACCAATTTTACAACAAACACTACATCCTCACCAACAATTTTCCCCTCGTAGTTACATTCCTAATAACTTGTCTCTTCTGCAACCTAGATCAACACTACCCGACTTCCTAATTGACCAAACTGCACCGCAACATTCACAATGGGTTTGATGGATAAGCTGAACCTCAAGCCTGGCGTTATCTACGGCCAGGATGTCTTGAAGGTAAGCTATAGCTACGCAGCTCTTATATTGCTCTACGTGTGTAATTTTAATGGTAGCTAACTCGAGTTCGCCTCATTGTCTCTAGGTATTCCAATACGCGAAGGAGAACGAGTTCGCTCTTCCCGCCGTCAATGTCACCTCCTCTTCTACCGTCGTCGCCGTGCTCGAGGCCGCTAAGGAGTCGAGATCGCCAGTCATCCTCCAGGTTTCCAACGGAGGTGCTGCTTTCTTCGCCGGCAAGTCCATCCCGAACTCGAACCAAGAAGCCTCCGTCACCGGCGCCGTAGCCGCCGCGCACTTCATCCGCGCCATCGCTCCCGTCTACGGTGTTCCCGTCATCATGCACAGCGACCACTGCGCCAAGAAGCTACTACCGTGGCTGGACGGTATGCTTGACGCCGACGAGGCGTTTTTCAAGGAGCACGGAACCCCGCTCTTCAGCAGTCACATGATTGACTTGTCTGAGGAGGACCTCCAGTACAACATTGAGACGACCGCCAAGTACCTCAAGCGATCGGCGCCGATGAGCCTGTGGTTGGAAATGGAGGTCGGTCTGACGGGTGGTGAGGAGGATGGTGTCAACAACGAGGATGTGGACAACAACTCCCTATACACGCAACCCGAGGATATCCTTGCCATCTACGAGGCCCTTAGCCCCATCTCCAACCTCTTCAGCATCGCTGCCGGTTTCGGCAACGTCCACGGTGTCTACCAACCAGGCAACGTCAAGCTCCATCCCGAACTCCTCGGCAAGCACCAGGCCCACGTCGCCAAGAAGCTGGGTGACGGCCAAGCCAAGCCTGTCTTCTTCGTCTTCCACGGCGGTTCCGGCTCCAGCAAGGCGGAATTCCTGGAGGCCATCTCCCACGGTGTCGTCAAGGTCAACCTTGACACGGATCTCCAATGGGCTTACCTGGTCGGCCACCGAGACTACATCGTGAAGAATATCGAGTACCTAAAGACCCAGGTCGGTAACCCCGAGGGTCCTAACAAGCCCAACAAGAAGAAGTACGACCCGCGTGTGTGGGTACGAGAGGGTGAGAAGACGATGAAGGCCCGTGTCATCGAGGCCTTCGAGGATTTCCGCACGGCCGGAAAGCTATGAGCAAAGCAAACTAACCGAGTGGGGAGCATTCATACATATTACTCTTACTGCGAAGGTAGTTTTTAAGTAGTCAAAATATGATACCGACTGAGTTGAACATTTCTGTTATTCTTATGTATACTACCAATGGTTTGATTAGACTGTCATTCCTGGGTTGTTCTCCCAACCGTACTATCCATGGACGGTGATGAGCATGCTACGATCATCGATCGGGTTGTATTCGGTTTCCGTATGCCCTGTCGTCGGAAACGTACCGCACCCCAACGCGTATAACCGAGGCCCGGAATCGTCCACAATAGCCAAGAATCGGGTCGGGGTAGATTATCCCATCACGAAGCACCTCGGGAGAATCGTACTAAGTTACTTGGAATGAATTTGCAATATACATAATACTATACCCTTCAAGGCTAAGTTCTATATTCTGGTGTAGTAGATTATAAAACTGAGTGATCAGTAGCTAACATTGAATCTTAGGCCAGCGACACAGATACTCGTGGATGATTTGGAGTATACATGCTTTGACGCATATAGACTCATAACTGTAATAATATGTATTTAAGTGTAATAAGGCCTTATAACCGCAGCTGAATGCGGGGCTTCCTGCATCTCAATTCTAATCCCACCAATCTCTCCTCCGCCTCAAAAAACATGAGTAACGCACCTACAGCTTCAGATAGCTTCATGCAGCTTCATGATCGTCTCCTACTGTAGGAGCCATAAGTGAAAGGCGTCAAAAATGAACACAAGCCTCAACACTCCCTGCCTCCATCAACTGAGAACTATTGAGTAGGATACAACTTAAACCCACGTACGACCAGGCGACAAAAAAGTCTAAGATCACGTAATACACAACGAATGAAGAACCAATAGGATGTTTCCCGTTTCTATTACGTGCCGCAACAAGTTGCCGTTGACTCGGTGCTTCACCCGTTGCGTCATGTACATGTAAGTTTACAGTGGTGTTGGTACCGGCCATCTCACGAAATAGGACCAACCTACATATAAATGCACCAATCTCACAGGAGATTGTGAGTTCTTGTACACGGTCCATATACCGGTCATGCTTTCCGCCCTCACCTAGATGAAGATCCCCCCAGTCTTCTCCACGGCCTTGATTGGCGTAGATCAGGTACGCGTGTGTAGGTGGTGGTCTCGAGAAAGGGCCGGCCTAAACTCCTCCAACACGAAACGCGCTATCATGGGGATAAGAGGAGTTTCCCCACGTCGATAGGGCGCTTCGCTAGCTGGAAATTGCACGGGCGTCTCCATCACCTGCATATTCCTTCAAGCTTTGGTTTGTACTCCCCGAGCCTGACTACCGATTGGGTCTGTACTCGGTCACCTTGGTACTCCGCATCGGATCGAATTCGATATATTACAGGAGACCGGTGTAGAGCGGCCGCTCTATCTCTTCTCCTGGCGTTGTAACACAAGAGGCGACAATTGAATTGCGGAAAACATTTTGTCTCGTAGTACTAAGCTCCTTAATAGAAACCAAACCACCTTCCCGGCATAGAAAACTTGCGGTAGATGGCAATCGTTGACTATCTCGTGTCGCCCTGGGCATTGGCTGTTGGATGCCTCGGAATCGTTGTCTACTACGCCTACTCATATCTAGTGACATACGACCATCTTCGAGATATTCCCGGGCCTTTCCCTGCGCAGTTCACTAACCTATGGCTCCTCTACACTTGTAGGCGAGGGAAGCGATACTTCGTCGTGGACCAGGCCCACAAGAAACTCGGCCCGGTAGTGCGGATCCAGCCGAACCATGTCAGCATCGCCGATGACGAGGCGATCCAGATCATCTATGGCCACGGGAATGGGTTCCTGAAGTCCGGCTTCTACGACGCCTTCGTGTCAATCCGGCGCGGTCTGTTCAACACTCGGGACCGCGCCGAGCATACCCGCAAGAGGAAGCTTGTCTCTAGTACT